CACACTGATTCTACACACCACTCTGATTCTACACACGACACTGATTCTACACACCACACTGATTCTACACACGACTCTGATTCTACACACCACACTGATTCTACACACGACTCTTGATTCTACACACGACCCTGATTCTACACACCACACTGATTCTACACACCACTCTGATTCTACACACCACACTGATTCTACACACCACACTGATTCTGCACACGAATCTGATTCTACACACCACACTGATTATTCACACGACTGAACCTTGACCGACTATGTGACGGGGGGAATCACCGTCGCCTGTTTGTTCCTAATGCCGTGGCGCCGCTTAGTCTTGCGTGTTTGATCATACCCAGATACTAACATCGCATACACATCGAGCAGTTGCTACACTGTTGTTGTAGATCGTGAGTAGGCAGCCAAAAATGTTCGTCCTATTGTGTGCTTATCTCTTTGTTGCAACGATACCACAAAAGCCAGAATAAACGAGTGCATACCACAGGTCATCATCCCGTGTTTACCACGTAGGCTTTCGCGACAAATGTAATCCATATTCTTAGGTTTTATCGGTAAAGTCACGTAGGTAAAAGATTAAAATTAAAATTAATAAAAGTAAAATAATGTAGACTAGCCGTAGTCTCAAACCACCGTTCCTGGCCCATCCCCCCCTCAACCAGTATATATACGGGGTAGTATCCCTTGGAATCTCTCATTTACTTGATACAGCTATCGTGCTGTGACGGTTCCACCTGAAGACGGAAGCTTGTGTTGCCTCCGAAACGTCGTGATTTTTATTTAATTTTTATTTTACTTTTATTAATTTTAATTTTTTACCTACGTGACTTTACCGAAAAAACCTGAGAATATGAATACTTGCAGTCACGAAAGCTTCAAATCTAAAATGTAATCCATAATACAGTTTTTGTTCGGTTTCGATCGCGTAAATATACGGGATGTGAGCAGCAACATCAATCAAACAGGAGAGGGTGGAAAGTTTGTTCAAGTTGTTTCTTTTTAACTTTGCCACGTTTACATCTTTACGGGATTTTTTTCAGATCTATGATACAACCTGGCCCTTTTCTGGTTATCACATCTCATAGGCTCACGTCAATTATAACTTTTGTATCTCTCGCCTTTTTTACAATCATAATATGTCTCATATGTTACGTACATAATATGTAGTGCACAGTATGTAGTCACATACTATATGTGACCGTCACTTGAGCATTATCTGACAGCTATAAATCAATTTCAGCAAAAGTAGTAACTCAACTTCAGCATCACATTGTACGAGCAGATGAAATAGCGACTGCAGTACTTCCTAATCTTAATTCAATTAGTTGATTCAAATACTGCTCGAGAAAGAGAAATCGGAGCTATTGTTCGTGGCTTTTTATAGCTGGCAAGAGTATTGTTTTAATTCTACAACAATACCAACATGGACCCGTGACCAGCGGCATGGACACCATGCATCTGTTACGAGTAAACAGATGGAGGCTATCGCTAACATCACAGGATGATTCAAAACATTCTGTGCACTCCATATGCCTCGGTGACACGGTGACACTGTGATGAAATGCATCGACTCTGGTGTGCCAGGGAACGCATCTAAGCTTAATCTCATGGTATGACAACACCGTGAATATGATGGTTCTCATGATGTAAGTTACTCAACGAAGACAATTGTCCGTGCTAAGTGGTGGCATGCAGGTGCAACTGTGCGTGATTTGGGGAGCGGTAGTGTAGTGGTTTAGCGCTACGAACCCACACCTGTCAACCCATACGGGTTTAACCCTGTATTCTTGTACAGGGAAATTTAGTTTTCAGGTCCATACGGCGTAAACCCGTTTGAATACGGGCAAAAAAATGTGTTTGTCTATTTGTTTGTGTGTTTCTCCCTTGCGATTTGACTTTGTAGGATGAACGTTGAGATCTATAAAGGCACGGGGTGACCAATAGGGTCTGAGTTGGTCTGTAATAAGGTAGGGTACTGATCAGGGGTTGTTAATGTATGCAACCCTGGCCACCCGAGTTCGATTCCCGCTCACGGCCAACACTGGTGACGATAATTTGAACCTGTCCTGGGCCTCCCCTAGGTCGATTCAGCCTCAAATATGAGTAACTGGTGCGATGTGTAAACATCGCCACTGGGGATACAAAGGCGGCCGGGCGTGGATGCTGGCCACCCACCCTCTCCTCGTGTGCCAGAGTGCCGGCCTTCGTAGGTGCTCGCTAACAGCACTTGCCCCAAACAGTCTGTTCAGGCTATGCGGGGGATCTTTGTCTTTGATTTGAGTGGTCATTTAAATATTAGGTATGCAGTAGTTGGTTGTAAAGCTGACGAGCATGCCTGTGTTTGTGAATGCATAATTACGAGATCTGTATTGTCCCTCCTATGAGAAAGGCCGCTGAAAAATATTCAAAATCGGTACAGGTGTAACGATGTTATCGATTCTTAGGATAATATCGATTAATAAAGGTGACGAAATATACCTAGTGTATATACATGCGTCGAATGGCGTAAAAATCTATGTTTTTCTTTTTCAATTTAAAAGTGTAAAGAACTAAAGATATCGCAGGGTCGCGAGAAGGTGGTGGCGTCTTGGGTCGGGAGGCCTTCATCGAGCAGCGGATTGAGCATGGCTGATGATAATATGCAAATCCAAGTTTGACTTACATACATATAGCTTCTAAGTGAAACCGCATTTCAAGAGAGTTGAATGGCAACAGCGAGACTTGAATATCCTTGGGAAATCCGGCTTAATTGTGTACTACTCTTTGGGTTTCATCTTCTTGGTTCTTTCGGTAAAGTCACGTAGAAGGGAAGTAATAAAATAATAAAAATAAAACATAATAAAACAATTCTCACGACGTTTCGGCCACAACGCAAGCAGCCGTCCTCAGGTGAAAACGGCTGCTTGCGTTGTGGCCGAAACGTCGTGAGAATAGTTTTATTATGTTTTATTTATATTATTTTATTACTTCCCTTCTACGTGACTTTACCGAAAGAACCAAGAAGATGAATCCCTGCAGTCACGAAAGCTTTAAATCGAAATACTCTTTGGGTCTTTCGATAAAGTCACGACGTTTCGATCGAAGCGTCGTGATTTTTTTTTTATATCTACGTGACTTTACCGAAGACCCAAAGAGCATGAATTCCTGCAGTCACGAAAGCTTTAAGTCAAGATTGAATTGTGTACTGTTTAATGAATAAATATTAAGTCATAACCAGGGAAGGTCTCAGGGCGCCAACAAATACGAACAGCTGTGACAGAGCAAACGAAACGCGACTCAATACAAAAGAGATCACAACAACAATAACAACAATAACAACCAAACGATCCGATAGGGGATCAATCGTTGGATGTAATCGCGGTGCTAAATGTTTTTTGTTTGTTGCTCAGATTGATCGAATAGCGGTGAGAGGAGTTGGGAGGGCGCTGTGAGTTTTTTCTTCGCTTGATTGGTGATCGCACGAAAAGCGAAACACCTGCCAGGTGGCGTGTCCCGGTCGCGTCCTCATCAACGCCGAACTTTTAAAAGCCACGATGAGGCGTCGATTGAGCTCAGCATCGTGTGCGAGGCGCGCCGATCCGGTTTTTATTTCCATCCCCCCGCGAAGATTCACTGCGCCCCGAGGGGAACACGTGGCGTTCTTGTCCCCATTTTTTTCATTTAAAAAAACAACAATTGGGAATACATTTCATCCGCGAGCAAATGGTGCTGCACTTGCAAAACGATTTCCAACTTAAAGGTGAGCGACGATTGTTATCCAATGTGTACCGTAAGGTTAGCGTCCAACTCGCTTAATAAGGATTTTTTGTTTGTAAATCTAGTGACCTTTTTATATGTCGTGATTCGGCAAGAGCTGCTATAAACATGTTGAGCAATGCTTTGTAATTGTGTGCTTGTAAACACGCTTGCTTGAATTTCGTGTGCGTGGTTAAAATTACACGTTAAAACTACACGTTAAATGACTGGTACGCACAACTGTATTCCCGATTACTGTGGTAATTAAAGCATTCAATTTCGATGGGTATCTTTTAATGACGCAATTAAAAAAATTGGGTAAAGCTTCCGTATCGTTTAAACCCTACGAACACCGGGCCATGATTATATTATTGAGAAATGGTGTGTGTCTATTAAAACGCCGTTGCTGGTTACGGGATGAGATATGAAGCCTGGTATTAAATTCCAAATTATTGCCAAACTCCCAAACGATAACTCTTGACCAAAGATACATTTCCACGGACCGCGTGAAATAATGGCGTAGATTTAAATGCACGCTTTGGCCACATCTTGAAAAAGAGCTGCTTAGCCTTCTGATTATGAAAAGGCAACTCTTTAAAAAAAGTGTCACCAGATTGTTTATTACGTTCGTCCCGCTTCCCGTAAGGACCTCGTTTCTGTGCGTTTTTTTAGACGAAAACTCCAATGTCGCCAACATCAATACGCGTTAAAGCGAACATTAAAATAATCCCATGGGATTTGTTTGACCATATTTCACCACCCCAGTCAATGCGGGCTGGTGGAGGGTGGTGGTATGGGGAATTCCGGACCGGTTGGGATGTCACTCCCTAAAATGATGCCAGCCGTGACCCAGAGTCGAACTCGTGTGGTCGGGCACACGGATAGCTTGCGGCGGTTGCGCGAACCACCACTGCACCACCGCTCCAACCCTTGTTTCCTAATTATATTTACAAAAGCCCAGGCATTAAGAAATACCCCATAGCTTTCCGGGGAATATTAGACGTGATCAAACCTAACAGGGGTGGAGGGGTTTCAACATGTCCTTTAGTAATAGGCGGGGGTTGCGCCTTGGATGATTATTGCAAACATTGAGAAAGGGGGGGGGGGGTTCTCCTGTTATCTCTAGGACCCCCCTAAATCTCCGCTACCCTCCTCTGCATTCCATTGTGAAACGTCCGCATCGCTCACGATGTGCGGGGCTGGTCGCGAGGCTCCGCCTCTCCCCCCGCGGAGGGGGCCTCTATGAGAGATTCCGCGCACACGGCGGGTCCATCAGTCAGTCGGTGGTGGTGGTTTGTGTTGCGTGCCATCGTCGGAAGAAGCAGCAGCAGCAGCAGTAGCGAGAACTGCTGCCCTTTTTAACACTCACGGCGACGTGTATCGGTTGCAGATTCAGTCTTAGTATTACATTTAATGAGTCGGGTTTTTTTTTCAGGATGTATGTGGATCGCTTGTTTTCATAATAATGAAATTCGTTTAACGTGCGTAGCACGTGCTGCTTGCTGCTTGCCGTTGGTGTAGGCTGCGTAAAGTGGATGTTTCTGATTTTTGGAGATCCATAGCCGGCCAAAATGCAACACGCGTGTGCTCGTCGTTGCAAGGTAGATTAGACATGCTCTCGAGAGCGCCCAGTAGCGGAGGTAGGGCTGCACCTGCCTGAAGAATCCAAAGACGACTGACCAAGCTTGGCTTTTCCTCTCCGATATCATCCTTACACGTGCCCCCTGCGCTGCCGCGCGGTCACGCACGACTGCCAGTGACGGCAGCAGCAGCAGCGCACATGTGGACCAAGCTGCGCCAGAGCTACCAGCTCCATGGCTCCTCGGTTAAAGGTACCATCTTGGCATATTATGGGGCTGCTGCATGGCAGGACATTGATGTTGCCTTATTCCCGGAGCGTCGAGGGGGGGGGGGGGGTTATGCTGAAGACCCCCCCCCCCCCCCCCACTTCGCAATTGGTAGTCAAACAAATTGGTCGTAGGTGAGATCAGGATGTGTGATGGGCAAAAGCAGGTCCTGTCGTTATTCGTTCTTTTCAGCGATTGAGGTTTGTTTAAAAGTTTGTTTTAACATAGACTGTCGGGCTCCCTTGAGTTGTTTGTCTGGCTCCCCTTTAAACAAGGTCACGCTTATAGGGTTGTGTTGCATGCAGGGCATTTGCTCTAACAACGTTCGTTGAAAACGTCCGACACACTAATGTGTGTGTGTGTACATATATGCCACGGTTAAAGACATACTTCTGCGCTGTTAAAGAGCCATTTATTTGCGCAGGACGCGTATCTTGGCCGGTGGTCGAGACTAATAATGGAGTATCTGCCAAAAGGGCGAACGCAGTAGATGCATTCATCACGGAGATGGCACAATTAAATCGTTTACAAGTGCTAGGGCGTATTTGTTGCACAGAAGGACTGAAGTATTGCAAAGGGGTTCACACTTAACGTTGGGTCAACGTTGATCCACCGCTTCCAACCACACGCCACAACGTTGTACATTTACGAGGTCGGGGAGGCAATCGTCCAACAGTAGATAACATCACGGCGGACGATGCTGGCGCTGTACACAAGAATATGCACGAGTTCTAGAGAAGGCGGGCGACGTACTTCACCAATATTCTTGTTCAGCAGAATGTTGGTGTAACGTTACAAAGTTTGGACGGACAAAGGGTTTTCTGTTGTGTATTCTTGACCCAAGCTAAGAGATATCCAAGGAATGTGCTGCCCCCGTGAAAAGAAATCTGCCAAGATGTATTAAATTAGTTTCAACATTATTACAGTACTCCTGGGGGCCTCCGACATTAAAAAGGGTTGCTACAGGGAAAACTTGTGTTCTGTCAGCATTACTGCAGTGGTGTCGCTGCATGCCGTTTTCTTGCTCCCTTCATTGCCCTTTGGCGAGCAGTAACGCTGGACGTTGTAGCTATATTTGACTCGATGCCACTGAAACCACTCTTCATTACGATAGAGGAGCTGTTTTTGTTGTTGAAAGCTTTTACAGGTTTAAAAAAAAGTACAAGTAAGTACATTTTCACAAGTGAGTAATATATGAAAATCATTCGTATATTCATACATTTAATTTAAGTTTTTATAGTGAAGAACAATGCACTGTTGTGCCACGTGATACGAGGGCTATAGCTGATGTAAATACCAATACTGCATTTTTATTTATTCATGTTAACCTAGTAGAATATTGAGACTGCTGTTATTTTGCATTTGGAGACAATTGGAGTGTTTTGAGCTGGCATTGGTCCTTGTAACTTCCCAGTTGGTAGGAAGTAGCCCAACAGGTGGAAATAATTCGTTTTAGATGGATCAATCAACACGCAGTTTTATTATGACTGTGGTTTCTTGAAACAATAATTTGGTTGTCCGACTGGGTCCCGCGATAGCACCTGTTAGGTCCCAGTTTGAATCCCTGATGTAAGTCGCCAACATTTAGCCGTTTTTACGTGCTCCAAGTAAAACTAAACTATTCTAATTTTACCAGGTAAGGCCCACTGAGCTATACATCTCTTTCAGAAGCGACCTAGCCACAAATGATAACTCGACAAAAGTGGCTTACGTGAAAATCTTTTAGCAGCCAAATACTCTAAACCAGGGGTCCTCAAACTACGGCCCGCGGGCCACATGCGGCCCGCCGAGGACATTTATCCGGCCCATGGTCACTAATTGGGCTGCGCTTGTGAGCACTAATTGGGCTGCGCTGGTGAGCACTGATTGGGCTGCGCTGGTGAGCACTCATTGGGCTGCGGTGGTGGGCACTGATTGGGCTGCGGCTGTGAGCACTGATTGAGCTGCGGCGGTGTGGCACTGATTGAGCTGCGGCGGTGTGGCACTGATTGAGCTGTGGCGGTGGGCACTCATTGGGCTGCGCTGGTGAATGGTTCAATGGGCCAATTGACTGGACTTGCCCCCCAGGCCTAAGGCTGCCAGCCCTCCCTTGGCTGCGCTTGACTGGCTCTCCCTCCCTCAGCTCCCTCCCTCAGCTCCCTCACTTGCCCCTCGGCTCCACTCCCAGTGATATTCCTGTGTGCTGGGGATCTACAGCACCGCTGAGTAAATGATAGAGGGGTAATAACAGAGTGATCTCTGATCTCTGGAGGGGCTGCCTACTGTTTTCGTGCTGGTTAGTGACAGACAGCCGAGGAGTAGGAAACCCAATTTAAATGACAGTAAGTGCATTTATATTCTGATTGCTATTCAGTTGTATGAGGTTATATGTTGTATGTTGTGTAAGCCCCGGTTCATACTGTTGCGATCTCTGAGCAGTGCGAGTTCAGCCATATGCTTGTATGGCTGAACTTGCATTAGATTCGGAAGAAAAAAGGCACATGTGCCTTCTTTTTTCCTGCAGTGGAATCGGATCGCATGGGTCTTCTCCCCCATGCGATCAGATTCCTATGCGAGTTCGCAGATCGCACTGCGATCTGTGAACAAAACTGCAGGTGTAATTAACTTTTTAATGGCACCCACACCAGTGTGAGCCTGGGGTTAAAGCGGAGTTCCCCCAATCAGACTGCATTGATGGGCAGTGCAGTCTGTATGTCTCTGTGTGGGCAAAGTTATTGCTGGTATATTGTTTTTGTAGCGTTGTAAATATATTGGTATTTTACTAATAGCAATTTTGACTCCCTAGGAAACAATGATGTCAAGAAAGAGAAAAATTGACTCGGAGTGTAGGATATTCAAAGAACAGTGGACTTATGATTACTTTTTCATGCAGTACAAGGAAAGAGCTGTGTGTCTGATATGCCAGAATATAGTGTCTGTGTTCAAAGAATACAATTTACGTCGACACTATGAAACTCAACATAAAGATAAATATGATTGTTTGGTTGGAGAAGTGAGAAAAGATAAAATATTAAAACTGAAAAATACATTAACGACTCAGCAAAATACTTTTGTGAAGCAGAAGCAGCTAAATATCTCATCACTGCGAGCAAGTTTTCAAGTTGCCAAGCTAATAGCGTGCACTGGCAGACCATTCGTGGAAGGAGAATTTGTTAAAGAATGCCTTCTTTCTGTTGCCAAAGAGATGTGTCCAGAGAAGGTCGATTTATTTAGTACAGTGAGTCTTTCAGGACCTACAATTACATGGAGGATTGAAGAAATGGGAGACAATTTGCATCAGCATTTGCAAAACTCCACAAAAAAACTTTCCTATTTTTCCTTGGCACTCGACGAAAGCAATGATGTTCGTGATTCTGCACAACTTCTAATTTTTATTCGTGGGACGAATGACTATTTCGAAGTCACAGAAGAGCTTGCTGCACTGCAAAGCATCAAAGGAACAACTACAGGAGAGGATATCTATGAAAAGGTTTGCCAAACTGTGAATGGTTTGGAGCTGAACTGGGCTAAACTAGCCAGTGTGACAACTGATGGCGCTCCTAGCATGGTGGGGTCTAAGAAAGGAGTAATTGCTCGCATTAACCAAGAGATGGACAAACATAACCATTCTCATCCAATAGCCATACACTGCCTCATCCACCAACAAGCGCTGTCACTGAAGTGGGACTCTGTTATGAAAATTGTGGTATCTTGTGTTAACTTCATTAGAGCTCATGCACTAAACCACAGACAATTTCAGGAATTTCTGTCTGAGCTAAATGTTGACTATGAAGATGTTCTGTACCACACAGAAGTCCGTTGGCTGAGTCGAGGGAGAGTTTTGAAACGTTTCTATGACTTACTTCCACAGATTACAGCTTTTCTGCTTTCAAAAAACAAAGAAGTACCAGAGCTCAATGATGCAGAATGGAAATGGCACCTTGCCTTTCTGACAGATGTAACAGAGCTACTCAACAGTTTCAATGTGCAACTTCAAGGAAAGGGGAAGCTCATCTGTGATATGCAATCACATGTCAAAGCATTTGAAGTAAAATTAGGCCTCATCAAAAAAGTGAAGGAGAAAAACTTCTGCCATCTCCCCACAACTCAAAATCTGTTAGCGGAAAAACCATTGGTTGCATTCCCAAACAAAACATGTGTGGATTCACTGGAAAAATTGCAAAAGGAGTTCCAATTTAGATTTAAAGAACTTCATCTCCATGAACAGGACTTACAGCTTTTCCGTAACCCATTTTCTATTGACATTGAAAATGTGGATACAATTTACCAAATGGAACTGGCTGAACTGCAGAATTGTGACTCTCTGAAAGACGCATTCAAGTCAAGCAGCCTTCATAATTTCGATGCATCTCTCCCCTCTGAGACATATCCTCATCTCAGGAACCATGCACTCAAAATGGCAATCATATTTGGCAGCACTTATGTCTGTGAACAGACTTTTTCCAGAATGAAACATTTGAAATCTCCAACCAGATCTAGACTAACGGATGCACACTTGCATCACTTGTTACGACGAGCAGTGACAAATATGGAACCGGACATTGACCATCTCATTAGCCAAAAGCAGGCCCATAGTTCCCATTGAAATACTGGCAAGTTTGTTGATTTAACTTTACTTGTTCTTCATTTTAAATATTGTATTTGTTCCCGTTTTGTTTCTTCACTTCAAAATAAGATATATGCAGTGTGCATAGGAATTTGTTCATAGTTTTTTTTAACTATAGTCCGGCCCTCCAACGGTCTGAGGGACAGTGAACTGGCCCCCTGTTTAAAAAGTTTGAGGACCCCTGCTCTAAACGAATGTTTCTTAATCGGGAAGGGGAAAAAAACCGAAGGACCTGGAGAAAAATCCACCCGACCACGTGGAGAGAGACATGCAAACTCCAAATATACAGCAGGCGTCAGGGTCGGGATCGAACCCACCGACCTCCTGTTTACCAGGCGAGGGGGAGCTAACATCTTGCCCCCGTGGCTTGACAGGTGGTGAGATGCTGTGAGCTGGAGCAACTCGGTCCCTGCTCGTGCACTCATTGCTCCCTGCTTTGATCTTTGACATCTAGAGTCAAATTTCAGAGATATGTATTTTTTCCTCTTAAAATTATCTCAAGGAAGCTTTGTTTGGGCCCTCCATGTTACGTTGAAATATTATTAAAATGAACTCGGCTATGTTAAAATTTGCTGTGCTACGGCTTGCTGTAATGAACATCATTATACAAATGATTTTAAACCATTTTCAGTAACACGTTACTTAGGGGTGTCTCGAAGATCATATATAAGATCTTCAGGATATTTGTACCGTGTTAAAAAAAAATGCACATAAAACACTGAAGTTTGGTTAATTATTACAATTCTTGATTAAATTAGTGTTTCACATTAATGTAGTTTTATATACAGTACTGTATATATAATAACACGTATTTGGCATGACAAACACTATGATCGGACTGTGGAGGGGGGCACTAATATTTTACACGCTTGAGTATAAAACATTCTCCTGACCTACAGATGTTTTGAAATGTAGAGTCTGTTTATATTTCTGGTGAAGGATCTATTTCCAGTCGAGGCTCCTTTTTTGACCCGTTTCATTCTGAGTGACGGTAACAGCTAACCCCACATACCCTGACAAAACCCAATTGTTCCTTGCCGCAAATATGCTATGTATTGGGAGCGAGGTTCCACTTTATACGTTTTTATATTACAGAAATCATTAGATATACCGTGCCTACGTTTTACTCCAATCAGGAATGTTTAATAAATAAAAAAATTCGTAACAAAACCGTAATTGAAAGTAGATTGAGTTAGTAAGGGTTATTGGGGGCCAAAGTCTTCCAAGAATAAATATTGTTAGGACACAACACAAGCATTTTCATTTCCAGTAGTGCCAAACTCCTGCCAAACTTTACAATGTTATAGAGCTGTATAATGTCGTGGGGGAGGGGAGGTCGGATAAGCAGGAGCAGGTGTTTTTTGCACATGTGGGTTTCTATCAAAATCATCTTAGTATAGCACTTTGTTTCTTATCAATCGGCAATGAGAACAAATCTCCCTCGGACAAGTTTTTTTGCTGGTCAATGTCTCATGTATTCTTCATGTTCTCCATGAATGCATGACACATGCCCATACCTGCTTTAAAGCAGGTAAGTATGGGCATGCATTCCACTAAGGTGGGGATGGGAATGCTGTTTACATTAAATCCAAGTGCAGTTGGGAGTGGGACTTCTCAGAGGATAAGTACAACCTTTGGAAATGCTGTGAAGCTAGTATTTGAAAGTGAAGCTACTGACGCAGTTCTCATACGTTGCAAATGAAAAAAAATGGACATTAAAAGTTAATTGGAAATATTTTGATTAACTTGAGCTGCTACAATGTGTAGAAATCATTGTCCGACTGTACAGACTGTACACGAGAGATGTTCTGGTAAAACTTCTAACCCAAATAAATATTTTGAAAGACCCTGTGCATTTCCCCACATGTGGCTACATGGTGAGCTAAAACATATTTATTGCACCGACTATCTGACTACTTTCTGGAAAAAAATAGATTGTGGGTTTTAAAGTTTTCCCAGGATTACTCCAATTTAAATGACTAATATACAAAATCTCAATGGTTGTGCTTGATTTCACATTGCTAACAATACCAATCTATATCTTGTTTTGCAGACAAAGAAGGAACTACAGGAAATGTGATTCTAAAAAAAATCACAGAGTTGAACCAAAGCTTGAGTGAGACTTCCATCAATCGCAGGAGGCAGATGGGGAATTCTGCTTCTATCCACAATGACTCGCCCATTAAGCAGCTGAGCGGCAGCGGATCTCAGTCTTCGGGAATCGCAACGGATGAATCGGGCACGATGGATTCGTCGCCTCTCAACAGCGACGTGGAGTTGAGCACGCCCGAAATCTCTCAAAAATCACAGGAGCCTCCTGTGAACAATGGCAAAGACAACTCGGCAATAAAAAATCACTGTCCTTTAAATTGCTGCTGGGATGCCGGAAGTCCACGTGCCAGCTTGGTAGGGGCAGACATTTCGAAAGTTGATAATGATGATGATGGTGGTGGTGGTGGTACTCTTAAAAGTTCGGCTCTCAAACAGGACGACCCTCTTGACAAAGAAAGGAATGGGAAGATTTTGCCAAAGAATATGTCTCGAGATTCAGGACTGGTACCTTCGGACAATGAGAAGTCTCCATGTTCACCTCACAAGCCTCTGAATGGCCGGTCTGCATCCCTTGACTCTGGCAATGCACTTACGCCCACACGCACACTGAACGCAGGACTTCCCCAATGGCCTTTATCGCCTCCATCTAAAATGATACAAGGGAAATCCAAGTCATGTTTTGATCTCGGATGTAACTTACGGAAGTCTGACTTGGCTCTTTCTCCGACAAATGTCCAATATGCTGGCCTGACTAAGTCTTGCAGCAGTGTGCATGCAACTTCATTAGCTGTGGTCCCAAAAGACACAATCATTCCTGCTATTTCCGATGATGACATCCACGGCAAACATCATTCTGACCAGAGCCTTGCGCTGTCGGCCAAGTCTGGAGTAATTTCTGCATCCATGTTCCATAATCGCAGTAGGACAGCTGTAAGTACAAATTCGGCTTTGCTACTGTCACAGGCCAAGTGCCCCCCTCGCAGCATGTCTTCACAGGCATTGAATGTCAACGGGTCAACCGTTGCCTGCAAGCCACGCGAGTTGCATCAGCACACATTGCCACGCACTCGCTCTCGGACGTCAAATCATTTGCTGTTATGCGGAAGACCTCTAAAATCTGAACTTTCGGAAAAGTCGTCTACTCCAGATATCCACAATCGTAATCTAACGAACACAAGCAGCAACTGCACTGAAACCTCTCCCACTTTAGTTGAAGGATGTCCAGATGCACTGCCAAAAGAACCCGCTTGCCCTCCTGTCACAACTGCGTCCAACATGTCATCCAAACACCTCATTATGGAAGCCCTGAACAGAGCCACTTACCGCCATAGCTCCACAGCATCACTCGTCACGTCCAGTACCAAAGTAGATGACTGCCCATCCAGTCCAACGCACCAAGAACACAAGCCAAGTGACGCTGCCAGCGAGCAGGGTGGATGTTCTGACATCACAGATGGTCAAGTCGCAAGCTTGGAAGACTATAACCCAAGCAATGACATCATCCAAGATGCAGCTGTGCTGCCCAAACAGGAAAGCGTTGCACTACAACAGCAAGGGCCTCTTCCACGGGTGATGGATGACCCAGTCGATGTGGCTGCTCCGACTGGGACCTCAAAGGAGAAAACGATGGAAAAGCAACCCTCCTCCGAGGTGGTTGGGGACAACTACGAAGCCATCATTCAGGACTGGGAGGAGTATCTGCAGAATGCACTGCCACAAACAAATCAAGCAGTCACGGACAACTCCACGAAGCAGGTGAGGCAGGTCTCGTGTATTTACAGCTGAATTCTCAATGGAGATTTTTCCGTTTTGGGTGACTCAGTGCCCGGTGTGGTGTAACATGGTCAAAGAATGCAGTTTAAAATTGGGTCCCCATTCATTTCAGCCTGTGACAATTGTGACATTGTAACACTTCAATACAGGAAACGGACGCTTTTATTCACTGATGATGAATAGATTTTTTTAAGAACAACTTGTTAGATAATTCATCGTGTCGATGGTGGATTACCAAATGTCACCGAGGCACTAATATTTACCAAAGCATTTTTTGAATCTGTATAACAGTAATGTAGACTATGCATACAATGTGATTGTTACCAAGCGAGTTGATGTTAAAGGCATGGTATGCAGATATTCTTGTTTAGGCAGATGGCGGTGAATGGTGCCTTGTGTTTAAAAGAGTTTGCGATCCACTGCATAGACTTGAGCATGGAGGGTAATGAGGCATGGAGGTCCCTGCTGGAAGCAGAGCTGCTCTGATGAATGATTTCCCTGGATTTGGAAGTGTGTGTGTATAATTTGCTGGAATACAGTTTACCTTGTGTGTGTGTTGGGAGCTGCAGAGTGCAAGGGGGAATGTACCCGTGCAGTGGTCCTCTACAAATAATGTTCACTTTGGCCTGCCAACTGTGAGGGGGCTCTCATAATCACAGAGGCGTAGACTCATTCACACATTCAAATGATTATTTAACGCAGGCTTTTGCGACCAATATTCATAGCAAAGGTTTTTGGGTTTACCTGCAATCAAACCGATGTACTGAAGTAATAGCTAATTTGCACATTTTTGTTCACATGACAAACCTTACTTATTTGGCTGTGCCGGGTGGTGGTGGATTAACGACACATTTATATTCATGCGATCTAACTCAAATTAGTAGTAATAAGTAGATTCCTTGACCCGAAGGACATGGTTAATTCAGCATAGCAATGGGCTGCGAATCCATTTCCAGTATTATTTTAATGTAAATGGGTGTTAAAATGTTTTGCTTTTTGAAGAAATTATTTGCTGCTCAATATAGTATATACTGCAGTAATCTAAAACTCTTTCAATATCAGTACAAAACTGTTCATTTGGTCATGGTCCCACATAATGTACAATCTCTAACTGTCAAGTCGGTACATCTCTGCTCTGAAGGAGGAGCCGTTGTCTGAATTGTTACCCTACTATATGGCAGTGCAATTGACAAGTGTGGTGGTGAGCTTTGTTTGTGATGTACTCCTGTGCGTATGTACCAATGCAGTTCACCGCTGCAGTTGCCATCACCTTGATGATGTATTCTTGGCACTTTCGTGCAGGTGCTGAGTAACAGTGCTTTTCCATTAATGCCACATTCCTCTTGTTGCCGTGATCAGAGCCTGGTCTAGGAGCTGCTGATAACCCTAATCATTTGCAAGGAATTGTTGCGGACAGGAAGGGGTTGGCCTTTGTTGTTTCATCTGCGCACAGATAAACTTTTGTCCATCTCTCTTTCCATCCTCGCATCGCGGCCTATCTTGGTAGCAACTGATGACTGAGCAATAGGTTAATTAAAGGATTTTGACTTAATCTTGATACGTCTCCAACTATATGTAGTGCATGCTCAGAATAAAATCTATACAAGGGCTAGCAATTTCATCATCTATTTGTTTTTTGTCTAAAAAAATACTGGTAGAGGTGTGGACTCGAGTCATGTGACTTGGACTCGAGTCAGACTCGAGTCATGAATTTGATGACTTCAGACTCGACTTGGACTTGCATAACAATGACTTTGTCCCACCTCTGGTAATACCTAAACTAACCTATTTAATACGTGTATTTTACCAGCTAACACACACTTGGCGACATGGCTCTTATTCAGAAGTGACCTGGCCCCAAATGATAGCCCAACAAAAAGTGGCTTATCGTGTGGGAAAGTGATAGCAGCAAGACACTCTAAACGCATGATTCTAAAATGTGGAAGAGGGAAACCCAGAGGACCCGAAGAAACATCCACACAACCACGAGGAGAACGTGCAAACGCCATATTACCCTACATGAAAGGACAGCTATCTAAGTGTACGACACGAACTGAAACTTGAAATGTAGCTGTAAAATGGGTTTCTTGTTCTCATTTCTGCAATTCACCATATTTTACTTCACAATGCCCTTCATTATTTATATTTTGTTACTTTGACAATCTTGTTTAAAATGGTTGTGATGCATTGAAAAGGAGAGCACTGGTCAAGCTAACCATCGAGTAGTGTGTGGATCTGACGTTTAGTGACAAACATGAGGTTGATGGCGTTTCATCTAAGTTCTGATATGGCAAATGGTTTAGTCTCTTTTTTGGATTGTGCATAATACTGTAATTGTACATCGATATATTTTATAGAACGATATTAGCTTATTTTAACATTATAGCTTGTTAAACATGCGATTATTAAACGAATGACTAATTGCAAATAGTTTACAGGCAAAATTTGTTTTACATTTAACTTCTGGATATAATTTTTAAATGAAGTGGAAAAAGTGAAACCCATTTTTGAGAAGACCTTTCCTTTGCAAGGGAACTGGGAAATGTTGTTGGGTGGGGGGGGGTGCAAGCACAAGGAAGAGAGAAACACGATCAAAAACAATGCAATGTATGCACAATTGTGTACTAATATATAGGATGTGAAAACTAATAATTTACATAAAAATGAATATGTATAGGGTGTTACAACATGAATCGGATTGCTGCGTTGTCACACGGTTTGAGAGATTTAAGCCGTGTCAGTGTGGGTGCTATTCGGCGTCAAGTTCCAGTTTTTCCAGTTGAATTGTTGAGGATGATCTCACCTGAGGTATAGGGGGTAGTTCTACTGACAAGTACGAGTCTGCATGCTGCTCTGGCAAGTAATGGTTGTCTTCCCATGCTGGGCTGTTTGTTTACCAGTGTGGCCTGCTGACATTGATCCAAAGAGGCACGAGGCATTTTCTGTTACTGTACCGATTGCCTTTTTGTTCTCTTTTTAAAATTTCATAACGGAACCTTAAGCTGCATGTCCCAAAGTCAAAGTCGACCTGTTCTCCCTCCATTGAAATATTATTATTATAAAAATGTTTATGCTGTTTTAGAATTGTATGCTTAATTTGCAAATGTAGTGTGTCTACCTCCCATAAATGAGAAATGCGTGTGTCATGCAATAGATGTGCCAAACATTGTTGTGGATGTGGAAGGGCAGACCGATTTGGGGCCCATTTTATGGGTTGAGCTGAGCTCTGTCCACATACCTAGCTGTGTAGGCTGAAGTTCAAAATGAGCATTGTCACAAATCTGTTGGAATAAGATTTTCATTGGTTCTGTTGATGGTGATCTTTTGACTTAGTCGATGTCACTGAAAATTTAATTTGAGCCTATTTTTCAGATTTTATTTTGGGAAAGAGCATTTGTTATTGGTGACAAACACAATTACAAGGCAGTCACATAATTTTCTTCAAACTAAATAATACACTCAGACTGGTGGACACTTGCAATTATATTTATAAGTGATTTACCTCGTGACTAAATTGTCCGCCGCTCCACCCACATTTAACGTTTTTTTTATTTCCAGATCTTTACCTTTGTAGATGCTATCAACTGTGTAAGTGTTTTCTTGGAATTCGGTACAGTAATCACCGAAACAAAGTGCAGGAAAATAGCAGTTCCATTTTTTTGTGCTGTGACGCACCCACAAATACAAAAACACCTCAATTAATGTCTTCCTTTGAGCCCCTAACTTCTCCCTTTATGGACACTCCTCTGATTAGCCACTCATGTGGTCCTGATGTAAAAAAGAGTATTACTTCATCTCCCAAAGAAATTTGCCTTAATTCTGAAACCTTGTTATGGTTTTTAGAAAGCAAATAAGGATTTGTTTATTAGGCACTTAATTTCTGCAGTATCTCCTACCGGGAGAAAAACGAAGAGAAAAAACACCAGGGCAAATATGGGGGAAATATGAAGGAGTTGAGATGCAGGGGGCAAATAACGACACGTCCCAGGAACATTTTGGCAGCAGCACCACGGAACAGAGGGCAGCCCAGTCCTCCATCCTGACACCCACCTCGAACGCCTTAATGTCCACCTAAAATGAGTCCTCCCCCTAAGTTATTCAGACTTTTTTTTTGCTAGTAGCTGGCCTCTTGGCAATATTGAAACAATGGCCATAACTGTGGGCATTTAAGCCAAGGAATACTGTTAATTAACAATCAATAAGGCTTTGAGTGTCTTCCGTGCCATTTCAGTAACTCGATACAGATTGCTATCGAGTGCTTCTTGCAGGATTGGCTCTGTCCATCGGAAGCTCCTATTGTTGGTTAAGTCGTTGAATTACTCGGCTTACATTCTACAATCGTAACTATTGTCCTGCTAATCTGCAGATGGAGTGCTTTAATTATGGCTTGATAAAGTTCAAAGTTATAGGGTGTTGAAGATTCTAGAAATATTGCTTCCTTAGTTTCATGAAACACTGGCCTGTTTATTTGAACCATTGTTGCCTTAGCTGCTTGGGCTGCTTCGTATGCCTTGAGCATTCTTTGGAACGTATATAGAGCTGAGCAAACGGTGGCAGAATGTGGTTAAGGCCAGTGATGGTGGAGCGAACATTCTCGTTTGTTTTTGCGTCGTGATGAATGTCAAAGATAGTGGTCTTGTTGGGTTATTTTGATGTGAGGCTACGTGCAAAGAACTTGGCTCGTCGTCTGCGTGCATAAAACGGGCATGTGAACTCCCACAGCCCCTGAGCTCTGCCTGCCCTTGCTCACCAAGGACCCTGCTGAGGAGTAAGGGAAGAGGCATTCCTGTGTTCTCTGCCATGTGGCACCATCTGGCTGCTTTGCATTATTCCACAAAAATGTTGCGGTCTCTTTTCCACCAACCACAGTTGGGTTGAAATAACCTATCTATTGAGACAAAATTTCAGAGGTCAAAATTTCCAGATGTTACTGTTCATTGCAAAATAAATGTTGCATTTTTGGTGGTTTTAGGACTTTGAAATACCCCATTTTACTTTTCAATATCTATAGCCAGTGTTTAGAAAAATAGATGTATATTGTCCCTTACTAAAACTGAACATGGTTATGATCATTAATGACTAAAATTTCACCAACGTTCATAATTTAGACAACATACAATTTTACATTAATAATCATTTTAGCAGTAAAATGACAGCTTGGGTTTTATATATTGCCCACAAAGTCAATTATTATTTAATATATAAAGTTGTTGTGTCTTGTGACTTTGAACCACATTATTGAAAGTTCCAAATAGCTTTATTCAGCAAAGTGCATCTTATTTTGCTTGGTCAATACTGCCAGAGTTGAATCCCCATAGCAATTGTTGTGTTTTTTTGTAAACTCAAGACCGTTTTTATGTAAATAGAAACATTGGTAATACTGTAAGTTGGTAGAACTAAAGTTATCCATAAACATTCATTGAAATTGGCAGCTCCAATTCCAGTCCATTGAGTGTACATCACATTTAAGTTTGGTCCATCTTTAGTCAAGCAGCTCAGCAAGTCTCCATCTCCAAATGGAACGTTGAAGCTATTGGTACCAATGTTCATTGGGTACATGGTTTGAGGCCACTGATCACCTCGTGCTCAGTTTGTGAATGTAGGCAAGTAAACTGTCATTTTGAATTGGTTTTCCCCCCAAAGTTGCCAAACTTCAAGTTCAAAGAAAATAACGTGTTTCGCTCTGTCCTTTATAGACTTTTAAAATGTTAACATTTTAATGCAAATTAAAATGTGTATATCCAAATCTGTATATCATGTTATATTTTACTTTGCACTTGATTGAAGGTTATTGTATCCAGACCGCAAATCCAAAGGTGATCACACACAAGTTGGGCTTCAAGTTTTGGAAGCCCTTTTAGCCAGTGACCCTACCAGAATCCGTCGACACCAAACATGGCTATTTTAAAATCGCATTTTAGTTCTATTATGCATTCGATGTGCTTGAAGATAACTCCAAGTTTAGTTTGTGCGAGTAGGTTTGACAGGATTATCCACAATTGATCTTGTGAACAATATAGTTCAAAAATATGTTGGATTTAACTGTAGTATTTGCTTTCATCCTTCGTAGCGCTGCGTTATTGCTTGTTTGATTTGGATAGTTATTTAGTGGATTTGTTCACACACACACGGAATGGTACGGGTGTTTCAGCGGTTTCGTCTATTTTTGTAGACTTATAGTAACGCCAGTGTGTGGCAACGCTAACCCCTTTTTTTGTTCAAAGTGTGAGAGGTTGTTCCACCCAGTGCTTGCATTGTGACTCCTGTGCAGTCGGTTCATAGAAAACTCCAAAAGAAACAGTGTGAAAAGCAGCTGTAAGCCAAGCCGTACCTGCAGGCAAACACTCGGCCCCATGGCAGGTGTTGCATTGTGCTCTGCATAAACTGTTTAGACTGCAATTCTGTCTTTTATAGCATGTCTAGCCAATTAAAAAAATGCTGATGTTGTTTCTAAAAGGGAGTCCTGTTTTACCCATGATATTGCATTTATCAAAACTATGAAACTCTTGATTCTCTAGCATGCGTTTTCGTCTAGCTCCGCGCCATGTTTGGTTTGTATGCGTCGCTCGGCATCCTGGGAGTTTCTCGAGGAAATTAATTTCTCTCGGCACATGGAGTAAAATGTCACACTGGATGCAGAACAACATGGAAACGCATTTGAGTGCTATTCAGCACAATCGAGAAACCCAAAGTAGCAGTATTGTTTTTTTTTTATTCGAATTGGTACTTTTAGGCACATGAGAAAAAATCTAATGTTCTTAACCATTTTATTAACTTCCTGACACTTATGAAGCGAATGCATGTAATCTTACTTTATGCTTGTAAACCAGTGGCTGGAAAATGCAGTTGCTCCTCTATATTTTAGTTCTTGTTTTGATGACATCACAAAAGCCACAGGAATTCTGGCCAAGAAAATGCTGTCGTATACGCCTCTTCGATGCTGTTCAATTAAGACATTGGATTAAATCATATCTTACCGGAAAGTGTGCATTCCTCTGTTGCATTGCATATTGATAGAAATAGCAAGAGTAAATTTGCTAAAAATACATTATGAATATTAGGTACAAAATTACATTTGGCACCTTTTTCTGACTTTACCATTTTAATCGAGCACAAGATGTCCTTGTAACCAAATCCATTAATAACCCCTGTATAGGAATTGTAATATTTTCAGTCCATTCACTACTGGATGAAGGCCTCTCCACACTGGTTGGGTGTGTTTCACCATGCTCAACTCTGAAAGTCGGTGCGGGTTGATGAAGGCTATGCACAGGGACCAGTCCTGATATCAATTGCCACTGATATGTGTTAAAATCTATTCCCTAAATCCCTATAATTCAAGACGCCAAATATAAATATTGTCCTGCAGTTAATGCTAGTTTTTCTTGGCAGTTAAGTCCGTGTGTTTCTTATATATTTCATCGACATCACTTGTGCTGAAATCGTTTCCTTTGGCCAAAGAAAATATAAAAGCTTTTAAATTAATCATGACCCAATAAACGTAACGTGAGTGTTCACAGTTTAGACTTGACGGCACCAATGGTGTGCAGTATTGCAGAAACAAAAGCCTTGTCCTGAACACTGGCTCAAAAGAGCTGAATGTGGCCATGTTGTCGTTTAGACCAGGGGTCCCCCAACCCCCGGGCCGCGGACCGGTACTGGTCTCGTGGCCTGTTAGGAACCAGGCCACACAGCAGGAGGTGAGAGCGGTGAGTCCGCGCGTGGCCCGCCCCCATTATTTTATTATTCACCACTTCCGTCCGCGCCTCTTTCGCGCACTGCGCACTTGTCTCCGTCACAGTTTTGGTAAGCCCACAAGCTCTAACCCAAGCCACAATGAGTAAAAAACAAACGTCGCTGGAGAGCTTCTTTGAAAAGGGGGAAGGACCCAATGATGAACCCCCCCCCCCGTCCATGAAAAAATTGTCTTCCACGAAACCGGTCCCTGGTGCCAAAAAGGTTGGGGACCGCTTGTTTAGACCACCAACTCAGAGTTGAGAACGTGGCGTGGCCATCCCAACAGTTCGCTTTAGTTCGTAAATGTCTCATCTTCAATGACCAATCTTCATTGAATGCAGACATTGCAATTTCATGACAGCCTTTTTGTTTTTGCAGCCGTGCGAGCCAGCAGCTGCTGCTGGCACCGGCTTTGTACAGCTGCTGGAGATGGTGCGGTTCCTGGAATGCATCTCGCGGGTTTACGACGAGCGGGCTCGGAGCGGGGACTTCCGTGCACAACAGCTGGCTGGCCAGGCTGTACCCGGCACCGTAAGTCTTTGGTTTTTATACGCACAGATAGTGTGGTGTGCTAGGAGGTCAGCTTGAGAAGGAATGTATTGACGTGCGTGTGTGCGCGCGTGCATGCCTGTGATGATGTGGGGAGCGGTGGCGCAGTACTGCAATGTGCTAAAAAAGTGACCCAAGATCAATTTCCCACTCGCGTTCAACATTGGTGACGAATATCTGAACCGGTCCTGGCCTCTCTCCTCGGTCGTTTCTGACTCGCATGATTACCTGGTGCGGTGTGTATACGTCATTACTGGGGAGACCAAGGCGGCCGGGCATGATTCTGGCCACACCACCCCCTTGTGCCGTGCTTGCTTTAAACAGCGCTTGCCCCAAACAGTCTGCCTAAATGGGGCGGGGGGGAAGGGGGGGACCTTTGTCTTGTTTCTGTGTGTACGTGATCATCCGCATGTGTGAGATTCCATACGTGTGTGAGTGCATGTCTTTTTCTTTGAGACGTTTATCTTTTGGTGTGTGTACAATTGTGCGCACGTGTGCATACTTAACACCTTTTGAATCTGCCCGAATAAATACATTTTGTGCGAGATCATCTGCTAACCCGTGACAAAAACAGAACCCACCAGCTCAACATATAATTATGAATGGGGGACTTTGTGTGCACCACTGGGCATGCGTGAAAATGTTTAGTGGTGCGATAGCCAGCAAGATTTTAAATCGACGTTTTGTTTGTCTTTATTTATCATGATTTAAAACTGCCCAATTTTTCTGATTTTAAAATTACATTATTGTATCCTTAGTTATTGTTCGGTCACCCTTGCATTAGTTTTTTTTTCAATCTGTTTAACACTAAATGAGGTATTCATTTACCACATTTACAGTTAAGCCAGCAAAATAGAACTAGATTATTGATACATTTTTTGTAGTTTAAATCTACCTGGTTTTGCAAGAAAGAAGAATAGTCTGAAATATCAGACATACCAAATGGGTCCAAATTTCACTTTATTTGAATTCAAAATTCCCTGCTGCTTTACTTTCGCAAAGTAATGAAAAGGCATCCATCCTTCACAATCGATGCTAGAGCTGGATCCTTTCCTAGCAAAGCATCTGCCAATTTTGTACAGGTACGTGCAAGGTTGGGTTCGAGCATTCTAGTGCCAAGCCCAGATTAGTCACTCAGGTTTACGAGGTAAATGGTGCCTGAAATAAACAGGTGGTGTGTATTTTTAACAATTGCATTCTTTTTTTGTCCGAAATACAATTCGTCATTCGGTTGTATGACGTGTTTCCACCTGTGCTGTTTACGTCATCCCCCACCACATCTACCGATCATTGCCACCTTCTCTGTAGTTTTGTATTTACATTATGCTGAATATATTGTCTCCTGTCTTCCCATCTGCTCCTAGGTCTTCCCCATTGCATCAATTTTTGTGGGAATCACGTTTGTGCTATCCGTCATTGTAGACTCCTTGATAATAAGATTGATATTATAATAAGAGTGACTGACATATGCCATTTACATGGAATAAATTGTTCTGTTTTGAGAATGGTGGAATAATTGTGCTAACTGTTCGCTATGTTTCTACAATTGCGAGTATTGACATGATTGATTACGCTTACAAATCGGTGGCAATGGAATTTCAAATTGACCTGGTGCCCTCATAGATTAACCGAGCCTAAAAGAAAAAGTGCTGCACATTGTTCGTTGTGAGCACCAACACTTATGATACATTATGGCTGGTTACAACATTATGCTGGTTACAACACCGCTTTGTATGCGTTGGCACAATCAGCAAGTACCAGCTCGCAGCAATCGCCCTCTCGGTACATGATGCAATGTGTGTGGTTTTTTTATGAATGAAACCAGTAATTGGACCCTGTATGCAACTAAGGCATTTGATGACCCTTTTGCAGGCTTTGGCAGCCTTTTTATGGTTATGGTCAAGATTGTGCTCGACAGGTTTCAGCCAGTGGAAAAAAATGACCTGTTTATTCCACGGGCTTACTTAAGGGCATTTGATTAGTAAGATAACCCACAAAGTCAAAATAACCACATGAAAAGAGCAATCAAGATGATTAGTCTACTTAATTGTGCAGTGTTCATTTAACATAACCATTTTAAGTACTGTAAATATTACTTTCGTATCTAATTGTAGATCTTGTAAAATGAGACTTGTTTCCGGTTGTCTGTTTTCAGTCGACGCGGAATTGATGCACTGTAATTACTCTATTTTATTTGTGCATAAAATATAAAACCTCCAATTTTGCCCACTCCCAAAGGGCTGTAAGGTATCATTTAACTTGCTAAGTAGAAGCAAGAGTGTTTTCTGAGCAACCATTCTAAAGTAAACCGTGAATATAATGTCGTTGTCCTCTTACTTCCCACCAAAGCAAGTTGTGATGGAGGCTTTTTTTCTTTCTCTCTTGGAAGTCGAGCAGTGCCAAAATAATTACAAGGTCTTGAGTCCTTAAACGGGATTTTAAAAGAAAACCCTACAATCTGCTATGACTGCAACAGGAGCATACGTAGTTTTAATAAGGTGACTTAGTGAAACGTGATCGTATAAGCCATGCAGCAATCTCGGTCCGGACTCTATCCTAAACGGCTCTGTGTGTGTGTGTGCTGCTGTGCTGCATGATACCACAGGGAAGTAATTTGAGTTATCATTGTCACATCACTGTGTGGGCTCTCTAGGGTCCTCCTCTTTTCGTACAATGTGCCCATTCTTTTGGGCTTGGCATGCAGTGAGGGCCTTGTTATGACTTCCGCCCATAGCTTATTTCATGCCACTCCATTTCTTGCTGATGCCGCAGCTGAGTTTTTTTTGGTTCAGATGACTTGGGAATAGCAATAAACGAGATGCATATCCACAAGCATTGCAAACAAAAACCTCTTGTGCTTGTTTTGCGTTCTTGATATTCGTAGTCTGTGTTTTGCTTACCAATATACTGCGTGTGGGTGCTGTATTGTAACTTGTTTTACGAGCACTGATGAAACACTTTGCCCGTAACGGAGAATGCTGTATACAGTGTCAACGTTCACAACGATTTGTGTGGAATTTCAAAGCATATTTGTTTAGTTGTAGACTCGTGAAGTGATTTTACAACTTTAAATCGTCCGTTATGTTACATCCATTGCTGGATGAAGGCCTCCTCGTGGCTTTGCCATACTACTCCGCTATTACATGCAATTTCAAGCTCCAACAATAATCTGTTGTTTGTCTGTGGGGCTCTAAACGATTTCACTCCATTCCTCAAAAAGGCCATACCAAGTGATTGTATACACAACATCTGCTAATCGCTTTTTAAGCACCAATGTAATATTAAAGTTTACTTATTTAAGAGTTCCTCTTGGCCAATATTTACATAACTCTAGTAACGTTTTAGTTGTAATATGAATGTCCATGCCATATTCAATCATAGATTGTGTAAATTGCATTTGAACAAAGTGTTTTTCAACAATATATTGCCAACACTTTCTGAGGCATTTGGAACATGATGGTTGCTTATCCTCGCATTGTAAAACATGCACAACCACATACCTTTTGACTTGGTTATCGTTTCATGATGTACAATCACCAAGCAGCAATCATCACACACAGAGCACCCTGACAATCAAGTAAAATCATGTAGATGATGCCAGATCTAAAGGGAGCAAACTCAAACATTATTACAAAACAATGTAATTCTAGTCATAGCCTTGAATATTGCATGTACCACTGGCTTTACCGCACTGCAGTCTGAATCTTCGAGACCTCTCTCTACTGCCTTATGTTACTTGCATGTTAATCGCCTGAGATCTTATCCGCAAAGTCAAGGTCATTATGTCTTGAAGTGGTGGTTTGTCATTGTGTTAAGCGCCACTGCAACACATTCCTGCGGAGGGAGCTGGTAGGAACGTTGGGTTGCTCTGTCAATGGCCAGAGTCAACGGCGGCGTGGTGTATTCCGCAAATATGGTCGAATGTGAGGGCGGGCACAAGCCGGCGTGAGTAGGTTAAACGTTGAGTATTATAAGGGCACCACGGGGTGACCAGCCCCACCCTCCCCACTCAGCCCCTCCCTCTCCACCCAGCCCCTCCCTGCACGACGGGCACAATAATCCCCTGTGGGCTGGTGTAACCAGGAGGTTCCTACCAGTATAATGTAACACTACACATCACACACTGCTGTACAAATTGAATGATGTTCACGTACATATGTTTTTCTCTTAGTTTGAGGGTAAGAATTTTGTGGGCAGTGAAGGGAATGTGATTGTACATACTGAGGGTATGAATGAAAACTCACCCCAGAGAGAAACGGATGGTTATAGACGGAGGCAAATATGAAAGGCTTAAGCCTGTGGATTGGAAGGCCTTCCTTGGGCACCAATTATTCAACACTTAAGTTTTGCCACCTACAGTGAATTATATTTCATATAACATCATTGTTCGTCTGCTTAAAATGCTAATGGCCTTGTTGAGGGTTATGAATGTGCCATAGGAAATGCACATGGCCCATCAGTTTATTTTGTTGATCCTGAGGAAAGCTTTCAAATTAAGAACATGAAGCGGCTTGTGAAAGGGGGGACTCCTTAATATCCCATTTAATTATGGATTCCATTTGCCTACTGGAGACCCGTTTACCTTGCACTACACAAGGAGCCACACGACACTATGCCAGAAATCCCTTTGGCCAGCAATTTTAGACAAAACCAACTTGGGATGATGTTGACCCCAACAAGGATGGTGTTTTATTTTACATGCATTGAAAAATCCAGCTTTTAAAATGTTCTCCTCTGTCATTTAATTTCCAGAAAAAGGCAACAGAGGTTGCTCACACCAAAGTGTTTGGGGCCCAAGACCCACAGAATCGTATCGCCAAGATGAAGATATTGCCAATGGCCCAGGAACTGGTTTCAGGTATCTATGCACTCTCAACCACACATGCGCACAAAGCAGCTTGACGTCATGTTGTTATCAGATGTTTAGGTTATACAATGGTTTTTAGCATTTGGACAGTTCAGGCGGTTTTACAGCTAAGAATGTTGACCTTATGAATTTTGGAATTTTATCAGGGTACATACAGCACCTACTGATTTATAATTGAGAATATGACATATTGTTGATGTGCACACACAGGCAGGGAAAAAACACCCAAGGCATTGACATTGCTTCATCAGTTTGTGATCCCCATTCAGGTCATTAGCCTAGCATGTGACACTGTGGCTTTCTTTGAGACCTCTTGCCTTTAATGCAGCGGTGAGAACAATGATGGGGTTGTGCTTCAGGTAGTGGTGTTCTTTTACGTGGTAAGAACGTTTAGCACATGTCTTAGTGGTGACATCACTTGGCATAACGTTGGTTATTGTCAATATATCTGTCCTTCAAAGAGGTTTACCTTGCACACATCATAGAATACTTTTTTGTCGTGATTTTTTTTACAAGGAACTTGCACAAATGTGTTTATTTGATTTGGTATATCTGTGTATGATGTGCATACATTTTCACTCCATTTACATTAATACTGCAGTACTGATGCCAAAGTTGGCATGGTATTTTACTACAAGTGCTTGTTAACATTAATTCTGTTTTTTTATGTCATGCTTCACGGTATTCCTATGCGAAAATAGTTAACTGCTAGAAAGAATTTTGGTCACTGTTCACTGGTTATCATTGGTGTGTGGAATAGTTAGTACTATGACAAATTCTACGATTAAATTATAATACAAAATTTGCTGTGGATTTTTTAAATCTTGTTGCATGAAGCATAATCGGCCAAATTGTCAATAATTCAACAAGCATTTTATCATCTTTATAAACAAAAAAAAACACACTTGCCTTAATAACATGATCAACAGAAACCTCGACAAAATATTCCGACACTGCATAATTCCACGGTCTTTAACTTCCAGTGACTACAAAAATAAAAACTTGCGTTAATAAAAATACATGTAACACGAGCATCGACCGTTTACTGGCGATTGCGCAAAGATGGCTAATAGAGTGCGCGCGTGCTTGTCCAGGTTCGAGTCACGCGACCGTGGCTCGCGACGGCTCGACCCAGTGCCAGCAGCAGCAGCAGCAGCAGGCCAGCGCCGTGGCGGCAGGTGCCATTCCCAAGCGCCGGCATCACACGCTGTGGCCGGCCTCTGCCAAGCGCCACTCCGATCCAAACCTGCGACCGCTGCATCTGGAGGCGTCATTCGCGGGCATGCAGCCGGAGGACTGCATTGACGGGGCGATGACTCTCAATCGGGTAAGGTTCCTCCCATTGTTTGTGTTGAAAATTGTACATTTTGACATTGTGGTTGCTCGTATTTGTTATTTGTGACGCGTGGCTATTATTATTATTATGAAATGCGATGACATGTACAGCGAAAGTAAGACATTTACTTCACACAATAGGGTTACATTTGAGGTGGGAGCATAGAAGTACAGTACAGAAATTGATGTTGCTTCATTGCTCTCTTGCCCACCGTATAACCCTAAGACAAACCCTGTCTGTGCTTGGCAGTCTCCCATCCAAGGACAAACCTGGCTTATCCCAGCTTAGCTTCTGAGATATGACTAGATACAACGCATGTGATGAACAAATAATTGTTTTGTAGTGGTTTCAAAGTGTGACGAGTTGGTTAAATATGATGCTGAACCTCCGTGTAAACACATCCGTAACATGTGGCTGAGCCATGTTTCTAAAAGCAGGTGATGGGTTGTGTAACACATCACACATCCCCATAGCGGTATATGCTGCACGGTTAGTCATTAGCAAGTGTGGTGCATTCCATTCACATGGTCATTGAATTTGAGGAAGTTGAGCAATAGTGGTTGGATGTTTATAGCCTCAGATACTTGGTCTATTTTCATTCAGTTAGTGTTAGGGATTGTAAGTAATTGTAATTTATATCCCTTTGTTAATCCACTGAAAGAAGGCCGCTATGCTGTGTTGGTTAATAGGGGTTGTTTGACCATGCGTCACCATTCTTGTCATTGCGGGGTTGGCAAAGGGGGAGGAGGGTGGATGTGCAGGACTAGTTCCGATGTGAATCGCCAATGCTATTAACCATGGCTGGGAATTTTTTTAGTCTAGAATGTCCAGTTGGGTTTGTAAAATATCCCAGGTTGATTGATTTATAATTCATATATATTTAACAAAAGGCAAGGGTAAAAATAATGTTGATAGAAGCCAAAAATAAACCAACGTTCTAACATCTAACAATAGCCATTTTCATCCAACAACTGCCAAACGCAGTCGTATTTTTCCACAATTTGTTTCTGGTATCGACTCTTTTAGAAGGGGTGTAATTGATAGCGTTTGTAAATACTCCTCGTGCTGCCCACCGCTTTGATATTGTATGAAGGATGTGGAAAGAGTGTTTTGTCACAGGGCCATGTTTGTACGAGCAAGCTGCCGCATCGCACAAGTGCACTTTAACCCCGCGTCCTGCCGTTTTCTGCCAGGCCACATCAGCTGTGTAAACCATCTGCTGTGCAGCGCCCCGCTTATTGTAATTAAACCTATCTGATTTTATCGAGGCAGATGTGCAAAAATGTACTCCAAGTTTTTAATTAATTCTGTTTGATGTTTAAAAAAAGACGTGTCCATTAACCCTTTCCCGTTCCGAGACGACTGCAAGTTGCGGGGTGGGTCGCGTTCACCGCTGAATCTCGCAACGTGCAAGCGATTTAGCGTTAATATTTTTAGAGGGGTATAGCGCCGTTATTTTTAAAGGGATTGCCTGTTGCCAAATTCTGCCACGCGCCCTCCCGCATGGATTTGTGGGAGCCTCGATACCGATGAAGTATTTTTTTTTATCCTGTCTGATTACCTACAGAACGGTGAAATGGTTAATAATGGCGTGATGTATTTCTAACCAAGAGGTAGCATACGTGTGTATTGACACACTGACCTATTTATGAGTGATTCATGCACTGCTATATGATTTTGCTAGCTCGGGTTCAATCCCTCGTGATTATTAGTATTTGAAGCTGACCTGATTGTTTTTTTTCCCACGAGGATGACTGCCTTTAATGAGGAAACTGTTATCTTGTGCCAACATCAGCAAGGGGTGTGGACAGAGCTTTGTGTGATGGTGGTCACTGGACCTTTTTGGAAGTTGTGCTTAGTTTTAACAGGTGCTCACGAAGCAGCACTTCCGATGGTTTAAAGGCTTAATGGGGATCCATTCGACTTCATATGTGGATCCAATCCCTAGCTATACAGGCTGTTGGGGCAAGTGCTGTTTGCAAGCACCTCCTAATGAAGTCTGGAAAAATGCGAATTAGAGGGTGGTGTGGCCAGGATTATATTCTGCCACCTTTGTCTCCCGAGTGCTGATATATACACACCACACCAGGCACACATTTAAGGACCTAGGGATTGCCCCAGGAAAGATTCGGCTAATCGCCACAGATTCTCAGCCATGCCAAACATCAAACTCGGGCTGCCACGGCTCGTAGTGCAATGTGCAAACAACTATGCTACCGCTTCCCTAGATATATATATATACATACATATGTGTGTGCATGTAGGCTATCAACGTGGTGTGTGTAGCTGCATTTTGCCATGCATAGTGTGACGTTTTAAGACATTGCCCGATTTTATCCCCCATGTATCTTTAGCAGCATTCGAGAGCACCTTGGAAGAGCCTGAGGGCTTTGTTCAAGCGAAGCAAAGCTGTCAAGCAGAGCCACTCTGGGGACAGCACGTACAGCAGGTGAGGCGGCCGCCCGGGACCACACTTATCCCACCTTCCTCGGCGAGTGAACACGGCCGGTGATGGGGGTGTGCATTACCCCGTAGCCCAGTCCGGGCTGTCCTGAACAATCGCATTCCAGTTGTCTGTTCTTGGTGCTCGACATTGACTTTGAGCCAGAGGCCTTCTGTGGATTTGGGGGCTGTAGGGACGTTTTTTTCGGACCACACAATTTCCTCACTGTTTACGTGTCCACTTCACTTTAACGTTTCTGGCATTCGTTAAACTTGTGCCCGTTGTTGCACCAACAAAAAGAAAGACTAGTGACATGTTCCCATGTTGCTTTGGGACTGTTTAATGTCAATTCCGGTTATGTTCGCTTTGCTTTTGGCATTTCCGAGAGGGTGACGTTGACCATGTGCCCTCAATGTGCTGTGTGAAGTGTAATAATTTGACTTGATGAAGCACACAAACAGCATAATCCTGTACCATGGTGTGCCCTGTCAACCCTTCACATGCTGCTCCTATGCTCATATTCAGTAGCCACACACCTGTAGATGGCAGTGAACTTGCGAGATAAGATTTACAATTTCAATTCTCGTTCTAATGCACTGTAAAGTTGCATATTTGTCTTGCCCACATGGGAGATGCACGTGATTTTAATCGCACAGCAGTTAATTTGCTGTGCGTCTTGTTTATCCCCGGGGCAAAAACGGTGACACGCTAAAGGGGTAAGCTATCGCTTGTGGTCGAGTTTCATTATTATAATTATTGCTAAGATGTGTATAGTACAATACCCATTATTCGTATGTGTTTAAGATTCCATCTCCAGACAAGTAAAATAAAGCCTTTCTTAAGGTCATCTGTGACCATTATGTCCATGTTTCTGCTGGAGGTAAGGAAGTACGCATTATGTTGCTTAGATCAGGCTTTAAAAGAGAAGCAGTTTAGTGTTTTGTTTATTAACTTTACATGGCAAAAATATAGGGCATGTGCCATTCCAGAAGTACACTGGAGAAATGATATAAACATTGGCAAGAGCACAAGTAAATATAATAGTTAATTACCGTGAAGAGTAAAATTGTAATGGCCAAGGACGCGCACACAAACTGCAAGCATTTTCTTAAAAGTGCATGTTGCCGTGAAAAATGTATTCCGTGAAATGTTTTTTCTGTGCAGACGAAGCATGTACTGTGTCATGTGTATCTAAAAAATGTTTTATAAATTAGTGGAAAAATAGGCAAAGTGTCAAGCTATCTAGAATAGTTGTACATTTGAGATTTGAAAGTGTTCAAAAGGGAGGTTTGCACTTTGAATCTTGTCACATTTGTCTACCCACCCACGTGGTCCTCACCACAACATGCATCTTGCTTTTTCCAGAAGCGAAGAAGTTGATGACATCAAAGAGACGGAGGAGTTTTCTGCCAGCTAAAAGCCTTTTCGACCATTTTTAACCGGTATGTTTATGCAAACTTCACCATTGTGTGCCACGTGTTGACATTTGCTTCTGTTTTGAACGGTAACAACGACCATACAACCGATGTTTTATAATACATGCAGAGTACATTCAATGCACAGTTGCTGTGCGTTTCTTTCTCACAGAATGTATAATTAAACTCACATTTTTTAAAATTAAATATAAATTAGTCTGCCTTAATTTTGTCCAATGTATTGCAGCACATTTTGAATGTTATGCAAACGATAGCAGCCAATACCTGCTTTGGATTTATTTATATTTACGAATAACCATACGCTTGAGGGTGGTAGAGAAAATCAAACATCTGTGGCATGTAACGTCCATTCCAGGCAGTTCTCCTCCACGTATTTATTTTTCACTTATTACATAAACTACACTGACCCTGTTTTTTAAATGGCTGGCTGCATTTCAGGGTTTAGTCCTAGTATGCGCGTAAATACACCTGGTTGTTTCCTGGGTTACAGCCGTGTTATGAAATACAGACGCAGCGTCGCTTCATTCCTCGCTCTGTGTTTAGGCTGCGGTCTACGTGCAGCCTCTGCCGCACAGGCCCTCACCCAGGGGGGGGGCAGGGTACCTCGCCAGAGCTTGATCTGTCAATGGGCTGTATCTGCCGAGTGTTGTGAGCCCAAGTAGGAATTTGTGTTATGGGCTTGGAATGTGAAGGAGGTGGGATCGGGGTGTGTATTTTTTTGGTGTTTTTTTTTGCTTCACGTCCTTTTAAAAATGTGAGTTTGGCCGTGACTCTGTTTTAAGTAATGCCGCCCATACAGGCAAATGTTCAACTACAATTTTTGATGTCGATGTACACTGGAGCTGCACCGTCATGCGATGCTGAGTTACCAGTGGGCCGCTTGGTTAGAGATGCCAGGCAGCTTGTTTTTTTAAAGAAGTGAGAGTTGGTCGCATTCTTCATGTCCGACTGCTGAAGTTCTGGGTTTGAAACCGGGCAGTTGTCCAATTTATGCGAGGTTCTCATGTGTGGTAAGCTGATGGTATCAGCCCAGTTGCCAATGATGGCAACAACAGAAAATCGCATTCAATTTGGTTATGCACTTAAATTGCCGAAATTCCAGTTCCAGAAATTAAAACTGCTTGGTTTTTTTTGTCTTTACACTCGGTGGAAGAACGGGTAAGGGAAAATGCTGCCCCCTACTGTAGTGTGGATCCGAGGTCACGTGACTTCATTTCAGCGGGTAGCTCTTGTATCCGCTTTGGTGGGGCCATTCTCTAACACAAGGGGATTGCACTTCGCTGAGAGTGATCTGATACCTCGTCTCACGACATGGCACCAACAGCACCATCTCGATATGTTGGGGGGTGAAATACAGACATTTACTTTAAAGAAAAAGGACCAAGAGAAGCTTGACACATTCCTGCGGAGGGAGCTGGTAGGAACGTTGGGTTGCTCGGTCAATGGCCAGGGTCAACGGCGGCGTGGTGTATTCCGCAAATATGCCCGACTGTGAGGGTGGGCACAAGCTGGCCTGAGTAGGTTAAACGTTGAGTTTTATAAGGGCACCACGGGGTGACCAGCCCCTCCCCACCCAGCCCCTCCCTGCATGACGGACGGACACAATAATCCCCTGTGGGCTGATGTAACCAGGATGTTCCTACTAGTATAATTCAGCCTTACTCCCAACACATTTCAATTCCTTCTTAAATAATAAAATAAGCGACCTTGGTAGACTGGCTATCAATCATAGACAACTTCTGCTTTATAAAATAAATAAGCAGTCTACTAAATATAACCTGTCTCGCCGCATAAAACATAAAGCATTTATCTCACAACCCATGGCCCTCTGGGAGTGCATAATTTTAGCAGCATTGATTCTTGCAAGCAAATTCTGGACTAGTTTTTGACATACAATGTCATTGGCAGAGATTGGATTGCTTGAATGATTGCTGGTGAACTGCCAGTTAATGTAAGCAAGGGCCCTCTCTTGAAGATGTGGGTCCTAGTTTGACACTAAATGATTTGCAACACAAATAAATCATTGGTACAGTATCATTATTTATATCCTCCCGAGACAACGATAATGATTATTCTGCATTCATGAAATGTTTAAACTTGATTATTTATAGTTTTAAATGATCATCTTTTGCTTGTAATATCAACTTAAGCCTTTTAAATTCTGATTATTATGGTTATTTTTTCCCATGCTTTAATGCTTATAAATTGTGGTAATAATTCATCATATTAGCTTAATCCATAATGGAGGTTTTTGGGTTGGATCACGTAAATATATAAATGTGTCGTTAAAACCCGCCACCACCCGACACAGCCAACTAGTAAGGGTTGTCACGTAAACAGAACGTGGTCAATTCGTCACTAGTACAGCACTAACCGGTGTGTTGGAGAGCCAAGCCACAACATTTACAATCTGAGTACGACGTTTCGCCAGTAATTACAACTAGCTTCATCAGGCAACAGCCAGATTTGTGGAGAAGTCTTACTGTTTCGTTCCTTATATTGAGGTGTAGATGTGTTGACCACGCTTCTGTCCTCTTGCACAATGTGGGTTGGGGGGGGGGATTACTGAGGCAACCTACATTATGCATGTGCATTATGCGAGCCCTTTGAACTTGTCCTTCCTGTCTATTGTGTTTATTAAAATAGCCCTACCAACGGTAATCCCGATTGAAGTACGCTGCCCTTTGTAGGCATGCATTTAAATAATGTATTATTTGATGTTCTTGGTTTTTTCAGTAAAGTCACGTAAATAGAAAAAAAAAAGCTCAAATTAAAGCAAAAAACCCACGACGTTTCAATCGCAACATCAGGCGGAGAGAAAATGTTTTTTTGCTTTTATTTAAGATTTTTTTTTCTATTTACGTGACTTTACCGAACGCACCAAGAATATGAATTCCTGCAGTCACGAAAGTTTTAAGTCTATTATTTGACGATTCGCTTCCACACAGCACTAAGACGGTAGCTATCCGAACGGGTAAAGTTATTTTGATTTCTTTCAATTTCGATAGAATATCTAATTAGTCTTGGCCAGTAGTAGTGAGTTTTGCACAAAACTTCAACATTTTCAAAATCAATTGAGTATCCTTGTTGGCATGCGTGTTCTGCTACTGCTGACAGTTGCATTTTGGAGAATGTAATATTTCTCTGTTCTTTTCGTCTCACACTGATCATTCGTCCTATTTGCCCAACATAACATTTACCACACGTGCAGTTAATCCTGTACACACCTTCTGTTGATAGCTTCGGCAATACATCTTTTGTACCAGATATTAATTTCTGTATTTTATGTACCGTGCCAAATCTGACTCTGATGTTTTGTTTTTCCAAACACCTGACGAGTTTATCAGTTACTTCCGCAATGTACGGTATTTTGATCGTTTTAATTACTTGGGCAGTTTCAATGCTCTTGTTATTTGATTTGGTTTTGGTATTTAGTGCCCTGTTGATTTGTGCTTCATTGTAACCGTTAATGTGCAGCGCTTCTTTAACATGTGGAATTTCAATTCTCAGACTGTCACCATCTGACACCTTCTTTGCTTGATGAATGAGCGTCTTGATAAGAGCAGATTTCTGTGCGGGGTGGTGGTGTGACTGCATTCAGATAGGCGTCAGTATGCGTTTTCTTTCGGTAAACACTGTGTTATTTTACCATTTCTACCCCATCCGAGCAGTATTAGCTTTACATTACCAACTCGTGTCTTTCATACACTTAAAATAAAGTATTACCTGATATTTAATATTCATATAAATTGTTTCTCTTCCAGGAAATTAAATTTTTAGTACGCTGACAATTAATTCCTGCATCATACTTTTCTTTCTGCATAGCTTCACTGATGGTTTTTGCATCTTCTGCCTATTTCTGTGCATGTAGCCTTCTTACAACCTAGAGAATGTATGGATACCAAACTCCCACCTTGTTATACATGTGCCCCTTACATCAGGCAGACCTAATCACTTGTATTATGTGCTAGTTTCCGATCATATTTGGTCACCAAGGATTTGCCTGCAAACAAGGGGTAATTGTCTCTATCCATTATTCAGTGTTTGTCCCGTTGAAAATGTGCAATTCATTTTGTCTTTCTCGAAAAATGTTCTCAAGGAACGTTTTAAAAACACAACGTCAATTCCCAGGACACTTCACTGGTTTCATTTTGTTATTTCAAATCTGGAATGCTTTCGGCTGAGTGGATTTAATTTATTCTCTCTGCTCCTGCTCATTCTTTCGATGTTAACATTCCTTTGCCTCACTGATGCTTTTCTAACATCATCTTGGGTTAATCTCCGGCAAGTTTGTTTGCCACCAACGTGCTTTGCACTTCAAAGTTTGATTAATTGCACACAAGGGCAATTAATACTGTAGGGACTTATTAAGAGCACACCTCTAAATATTAAACGTCGAATTCACCCTGGATACATTCGCACATAAGATGTTACATCTTAAGGGATTTCGCAAATAAACTATATTAATAATAAAAATAGTCTCAAGCCTAAACTACATTTTTTACTTGTAAACATGAATAAAATGTAGTAAAGAATAGGCTGCTGCATGTGTATTATACACATGTAAAATGCGTTTGATTAGTAGCATACATGCTGTTAGTGGTAATTTAATGGTGAATATGGGGCAACGATTCACATCCCCCACAAGATTAAATTACTGCGATTAATGTTCCCAATTCAATAATATATCCATGTTTTGTAATGATGAATGTTTTGATGACCTCGTGTTTTATGGGGGGGGAGTTATGTTGTTGCATATGATGTATACTTATTTAAAAATCATTGATCCTGACAGAGCAATTATGTGCTTGCATCGCAATCAAAACGTGCCACTTGGTTACTACTTCAGCACATTTGTGCTGAAGTTGTAACCATTTTTTGCCAGAATTCTGGCAAAAATCGCCCTGATGAAGCTGATTGTAATTACCAGCGAAAACGTCGTATTCAAATTGTTAATGTTGGAGGTTTGTGCTCCTGAAGTAGTACCTAATTAGCACGTTTCGTTTACGTGTCAAATCTTACGAATTGACTGTCGGGTGGTGGCTCAATCTAGCCGCAAAAAACCTAAATGGTGAATAATATTGGTCGCGAAAGCCTACCTGTTTACAATATGATGTACTCTCCTGTAGCTCGTTTTAAATGAAACCAAACGTTGCATTGTTTTTCATGATTTTGTTATTGCATTTTTTTTTCTCATCAGCTATGGAACTTTACGGCCGAGAAACTCTGAAGCTCCACATCTTCTCGTGTGTATCTTGTGCTCGCAAGCCGATGTGCGAGTCAAATGATGGGCATCTGCACCAGGAGTGAAACGTACCCGGAGCTTTGCAAATGCTTATGTGATAGAATTTTTCGTGCACTCTTACATTTTATACATAAAATATGAATTATATGTGGTTTTGCATTCATGTATTTTGTAATGCTCACTTTTATTTACACCTGTAATGCGCTATATGGATGGTACAGTATTTATATAAATGTATGTTTTGAGGGAAGTATATTTTACAGAGGTATAGATTTGTATATGCTTTGTGAACATTACATATGTAAGGTTCAAATTATCAGTATTAATCTTTAAAATGCAGTATTTATTGATATTTTACAAAATGATTTATTTTGTGCGGAGTTTATTTTACGAACAACTCTGAATAAGACTCGTACTGTTTATAATTTACACTCTGGTCAATGTCACCAATAAAATGCTTTTAAACCAAATGCTCTTTTTGTTTTTCTATGGCTGAGTTAATTTGATTAATTTTTTAACCATCAAGTAATTTGATATTAAAGCAATTTTTAGGGGTTTTTTTGGCCTGATACATTGGATTAGTAAGTTTACATTTTTGTACAAACAAGCTTACATTTCAACAAGGTTCACTATTTTATTGTGCACGCACATTTCTGTTGAGAGTTTGACCAATAAGACGAACGGTATTCTTCCATTATTTGCCAAACATGTGGACATGTTGTGGTAGTCGCAAAAGCCCATTTGTGGGATTTTTCAAGTGTTCCTCCAGTTGTGATCCCTTCCTCCTGGCAAGGCCGCCTGCATAGGCTTCATGTTCGCATCATCGAGCGCGATAAATCCGTGACCACCAGGTTGAGCGTGGGCGACCAATAGGGTGAGCCCACGTTCGGTCTGGTTTTATTCTGAATCTATTTTTGACACTTGACCACAGGACAAGTGTGAGACCAGAACCTTGTGGTTGAAGAGATCCGAGCTATGCTTCAGAATTAACCCAATGGATGAGGTCCTCTGTTGGTAAGACCAGTGCAGAATGTCAGACCTCTAAGTATATTACTATATTTGAAACCTTTTCAATTGAACACTAAGTGCCATGATTGTTTTCAGTTTTTATTATCAGTCGGATAATTCTTAGATCTTTATGAATTACGACCATGACCAAGTCACGTTCTATAGTGATGTTTTTCCAGCTTGTGCACGTTTAATGTTTTTAATAATACCTGAAAGTATATCGGTAGCTTTTCAATCTTGCTCTTGGAAGCTATCGTTTCAAAGCTTTGACACGATAGCAAGCTGTACGTTGGCTTCACAATTGTCTCAATTGTTTCATATTAATTAACGAAAGTTGATTCACTGCTTTGCTACATCACCACCCGAACAAATGAATATCCTGTGGAAATATGGACACCATTTGTTGTATGTGTCGCTGAGAACCTGGATTCAAATCCAGATAGCAGCCTAAAATTTTAAATGGGTTCTAAAATGCAAGTTGGTGGTCTCGGCCACAGTCATCGACTGCATAAAAAAACATCTCGTTTAAAATGTGGGCATTACTGAATTCCAGCACTGGAGGATAATTATTTCTTGAAGATCTCTGCAGGCTGTTAAAAGTTGTCTCGAGCATGGATTAATCGGCCTATTAAAGTTTTTTCATATGTAATCTGATTTTTGGATGCAGAGTGACGGGACTGCGAGCTCGACTTCATGCAAATGGAACAATTATAACGTAATTGTGGAAACTTTTAAAAAGAAACACTAATCTCGATGCTGCGCTTAACTGATTTTATTGAACCAGAGGGATCGTTGACAGGCGTTAATCTTAGGGATGTGTTCCAATGTTTCGATCACTCGTCGGTTTTCTGGTACAGTGTCGAAAAGAAGTTAAACCGTAAATTTCAAAATCTTGGCCGAGTGGACCTTATTTTGAAACATTTATGGAGTTCAAAATTAACAAAGCAAGTGAAGGCGTAAAAGCAGAAAGCTACACGTTTAAACATATCTGTCAGTTTGCTTTGTCATGGCCTTTATCGTCGAAATAATATCTAATATTGACAGGTGAGCACAAACTAATAGCGTGGCACCTGATCCCTCTGGCTTAAAGCCATCAACATCAATCAACAGAGCTATTGCCTGTGTCACGTTTGAGTGGCAAAGCTTTCAAATAACATCTCACCGATTTGCAGCTCTATGATTTACAACTTTTACAAGTTCTGCTAAGGTGTATGCATTCCATGTACATACACCAACTCCGGTTGGTTAGGAATTCCTGGGTTTTAACAGAATCCACCCTCAATGGATTCGCCCTGTCTACGCATTCCATAACAACTTCTCACATAATGAGCAAAAGCGCATCCTATGAAACATTTTTATTGTAAAAGCATACTTGCGTTTTCAGATTTGCAACCACGTGTAATCATGTTATACACCGATTATGAAATGGCACAGAGGATAATGAGAAATGGATCAAAAGGGAGCCCAGTGTGAAGGCCTCGTGGGTGCCAAATGGATTTGTGGCTGCCTTGCTTATTCACGCTTTCCCGCACACCAGGAATTGCACGAGGACAAAACAACAAAAAATGACCGCACAATTTGTTGGCATTTTAATGTCTCTCCGAGTTTCATGTGTGGGCTGGAGCTGCCTCAAAGCAAGACGGGGCATCTCTGTTGTAAGGACTGGTGGCGTCTGTAGCTTTTACTGTGCAGTGCCCATAATAGAAGCTTTGTGAGAATAGAAAGAAAAAAAACGGTGAGGTGCAAATGTCACCTGTGTAAGTAAAATAAAAAAAAGATTTAGAAAGCATTTTAAAGCAAACACATTCCTGTTAACCGTAAATAATGTAGCTATATATCTAACACCCTTTTGAATCCAAATTAAAACTGCAGGCACGAATTGGTTAATGTACTGTATTGAGATTCGGCACCTGACACCGGTCTGAAATAACGTGAACAAACTCGACCGTTGAATCGACCGTCATTCTACAATATGCAAATCTTTGCCATTGTGGCAGAAGGCATTTAAATTGTTATTAAAGCAAAACAGCAACCTTAGAAAACTATGCACCATCTATATATATAAAATCGTTCATGTCTGTCTGTGTGTGTGTGTGGACTTTGGCCCATACGCACTTTCATTGGACGGCGGTTGCCCCTGGCAACGGCTAGCCACGCCTTCGCCGCTTTCATTGGACCTGGCAACGGCTAGCCACGCCTTCGCCAAGGGCTGCAGTTTCATTGGACGGCGGTTGCCCCTGCCAACGGCTAGCCACGCCTTCGCCACTTTCATAAGCTCCGTATTTAATTAAATAATAGCCATTACACAGTATTGTTGGAGCGCTAGGGGGGGGGGGGGAAGGAACGCCACCCGTACCCTGCCTCTTCCAAGCCGACAATTTTAGGCAAGGCCGCAGGCTTTGCACGCTACTAGGCCTCGACACCCACCACGCCACTCTGAGGTAAATTCATCAAAGTTTTTCCTACTCTTCACTACACCCCCACCACAATGTGTGCTATTAATATTACTTTTAAACCCAACGCGCCAACAATCGATTACTTTAATGTTCACTGTACAAATACTCATTAAGCTGGGTGAGCGTACTGCCAGTCTATCATGTACACTGTAGCCTGCTTATTAAGCTCGGTGAGCGTACTGCCACTCTATCATGTACACTCTAGCCTGCTTATGCAGCTGAGTGCGTGTACTGGCAGTCTATAATGTGGACTCTTGCCTGGTTATTATAATCGATTCTTTATATGTTCTTTGTACAAACAGTCATTAAGCTGCTTGAGCGACCCCAGTTCGATTCCAACTCACGCCCACCACCGCTGACGATTATTTGAAACGGACCTGGCCCTCCCCTAGGTCCACTCAGCCTCAAAAGCGTAACTGCTGTCGTGTGTGAACATCGTCACTGGGGAGACAAAGGCGGCGGGGCATCGTGGATCCAAGTCCCGGGCGAAGCCGGGTCATGTGTATGTGTGTTTGTGTTTATGTGTATGTCTGTGTGTCTCTATGTATGTGTGTATGTATGTGTATGTATGTGTTTGTGTGTATGTGTGTGTGTATGTATGTGGGTTTTTTATGTCTTTATGTGTATGTCTGCGTGTCTCTATGTATGTGTGTATGTACGTGTGAGCTTGTGTTTGTGTGTATGTATGTGTGTGTCTATGTATGTGTGTGTCTATGTATGTGTGTGTATGTGTGTGTATGTATGTGTGTTATGTGTCTGTCTGTGTCTGCATGTATGTGTGTGTGTATTGTGTATGTGTTTGTGTGCATGTACGTGTGTGTTTGTGTGTATGTGTATGTCTGTGTGTATGTGTTTGTGTGTATGTGTGTGTATGTATGTGTGTGTATGTGTTTGTGTGTTTACGCTCGCATTACACAAATGTGTTGCTGGTCTAAGGCGTTCCTCGCACAGCATTGCCGCTTTATTATTTCAGTCGTTTACTGCCTTACGCACCCTGAAAGTCGTGTGTGTCTGCAGCAAGCGCGTGTATGTGTACCTATGGACGCGCGCGCGTGTGTTGTGTAGGCGGAACGGTAGTGTAGTGCTTAGCGTGCTGTCTGTGTCTGTGTGTGTGTGTGTCTGTCTGTGTCTGTCTGTGTGTGTCTGCGTGTGTCTGTGTGTGTGTCTGTGTGTGTGCGTGTGTGGTGTGTGGGGAGCGGTAGTGTAGTGCTTAGCGTGCTGTCTGTGTGTCTGTGTGTGTGTGTGTCTGTCTGTGTCTGTCTGTGTGTGTCTGCGTGTGTCTGTGTGTGTGTCTGTGCGTGTGTGGTGTGTGAGGAGCGGTGGGTGTAGTGCTTAACGCTACGCTGCGCTACCAACCCGGCGAACCCAGTTCCATTCCCGCTCACGGCCACCACCGGTGACGATTATTTGAACCTCCCCTAGGTCCACTCAGCCTCAAACGAGTAACTGGTGTGGCGTATTAACATCGGCACTTGGGAGACAAAGGCGGCTGGGCGTGGTAGATCCAAGTCCCGGGCGAAGCCGGGTCATGTGTATGTGTTTATGTGTATGTCTGTGTGTCTGTATGCATGTGTGTATGTATGTGTGTGTATGTGTTTGTGTGTATGTCTGTGTGTGTATGTATGTCGGTTTTGCCGCCGTGGTGGATCCAAGTCCCGGGCGAAGCCGGGTCATGTGTATGTGTGTATGTGTTTATGTGTATGTCTGTGTGTCTGTATGCATGTGTGTCTGTATGCATGTGTATGTATGTGTGTGCATGTGTTTGTGTGTATGTATGTGTGTGTGTATGTATGTGGGTTTTTTTGTATGTGTTTATGTGTATGTCTGCGTGCCTGTATGTATGTGTGTATGTACGTCTGTGGATGTGTTTGTGTGTATGTATGTGTGTGTCTATGTATGTGTGTGTATGTGTTTCTGTGTTTGTATGTGTGTGTATGTATGTGTGTTATGTGTCTGTCTGTGTGTCTGCATGTATGTGTGTGTGTATTGTGTATGTGTTT